TGCTTTCTTCTCATATTGTATGGTGAAAGCAGGGGAGCTACAATGAATGGCCGACACCAAAACTAACAGTATACATATGAGGCACTCCATAACTATTTTTCACTATTTTCACTACAACTATTTTTAGTTGAGTTAATGCTATCTCAGGTAAATGCAACACAGTTTTTAGCTTGTAGAACCTCATATTCTCCATGGCTATTAGGACAGCTGTTATATCCAGAGCAATGTTTAACAGTATACTGCACAGGTACACTCCACATATCGTCATCTCACAAGTAGCACCAGAATGATACTTAATACGACATAATAGAGAACCTCTACAAGCAGTTGAAATGGGAACGTTACCATCCTGTCATACCAACTTTCTGACAGGTAATTCTGACTTTCAGGCTTCAAGCTGAAATGTAGAAATTGGACTTTGGAAATTGCCCCTTTCCATTGACATGGAATGCACTAATAAACACTAGAAGCTTGCATGTGCAGTAGAGAAGGAGTGTGTCACAAATATTGGCATGTGGCACAACAGATAGATAAGATGATCCACCAGTAACTCAGAGCTGAAAGTCCACTATGCCTTTAACAGCCTTTCATGCTAGTTTATAAAGGCTCCATTGGATTGTGCATCACTGAGTGCACCAAAAATCATCCACAGCCATGAAAAAAAGACTCAGTGTCACAATCTATTGCAAGTATTTTTCAAGGAAGTTGTCTCCAGGGAGGAAAATATTTTTAAATCAGATATTTTTTTTCTCTTAATAAATGAATGATCCTTTTATACTATATGTATAATTTACTAGTTGTATCTTTATCTGATATTAAAATGTATTGAAAGTTTAAAAAAAAAAAGCAAAAAACTGAAGAAATCTGCAGGCTGCTTCAAACAGTTTTTCACAGCACTGCTGAAAAGGAAAATTGAAGCTGGAAGTCCAATTTACCAGATTGTATGTCATCTTGAGGGGAAAAGGTTTTTTTTTTTCCTACAAAATCCTCCTTTGATGGAGAGTAAAAAGAGTGTCCTCTCTTTGCAAGATGAAAAAAGAAAAAAAACGGGCTGAGCTTTTTGTCTCCATGTTGCCTGAAGGTGAAAGAGAAAGGTAGAGCAGGAAGGAGGATGAGAGCGAAGCTTCGGTAGGAGAGGAAAAGTGAACGTGATGAATGAAGGAGGAAGAACGAGTAGTTGGTGTGTGTATGTGTGTGTGCTTGCAGAGTGTTAGACAAGCTCAGTCTGACTGCAGAATCAGTGTGCAGACCCAAACCCAGCCACACCCCTCCTCCTTCCCCCAGCTCTGGATCAGCTCCTTGCTTGCTGCTACAAGATTACCCTCATTAGAAATGCAAAGCAGGCCAATTAGGAGCAGAGTGTGCAGGAAGTGACACGTTCCACCTGAAAAAGCCCACAGAACAGACAATGTCAATGTACACAGACTGCGATACATCACTGCTGTGTAGATCTCAGCACACTTTTATAGGCTTATTAGTTAGAGCTCAGAAAAAAAAGTGAAAACAACATTTTAATGTGTGAACCCAGGCTGAGGGGAATTCAGGATCACATCAGTCTTTGTATCAACTTGTGTTTTTTTCTCACCAACGTATTGCTGTGAAAATGGTTGCAAACAAATGTTGTTAGTTTTTCGATTTGATCCACCTCAGGAAGTGTCAGACTGTTTCCCGCTGGTGGATTAGGATCAGGTTCAATAGCAGAATACAATGCAGTCTGTACTGCTTTTGACAGACCTGGAGTTTCATCATGGCATCAGGGAGAAGGAGAGCATCTATGAGTTTAACAAAAAAAAAAAAAAAGGATTCTCAGAGAAGGAAATATACAGCCAGGAAGAATTATACTAACCAGACAGCCGTCTGCCTCTTCAAGTCTGCCTCACTAATATTAGCACTGAAGCACATCAATACGTGGGGTTCAGATCTCTCTGCCTGATATTCAGGCTCTTTTAATACTTTGATATAAAACTGTGGTAACAGGAGATATTTGGATTTTTATTGAACAAGAAGACACTGATCTGTGACATATATGTAAAAGAAAATTCTTAGTTCCTCATGAATTAACCTTTTTAAAACAATTAGATCAAATTTTAACCCATTCTAATTTTAATCCTTGAGTTCTACAATTTGTGTACTGAATGTATGTGGAACTTCGCTGTTTGTTCTTGTAGAGTTTTTTTTAACTGTTAAGGACCTGTCTGGAAATGCACTTTCTCATTAGAAAAAAATAGATGAGTCATTTTGTCCCTCTAAACCTCTAAAAGGTTTCATTTTAAGCTGTCCATGACAGTCTGATGGACAGCTGTCATGTTAGCGATCCTTCCAAAGATTGTTTTGCCTATAACGTAGCATCTCTGAATTTAGAATCTAGTATTCAAACTCTATCTGATTAGATTTGGGGTTTTTTTTAGATTAAACCCAACAGAAATATTCACCTTCAATACATCAACCTGAGCTTCTTACATTTATACATTTCATTTTACTCAGTGAACTAAGCTACTAAAATAAACTAACCTTTCCTATAGGTTCTAAATTATTGACATGTACATGTATACTGCAGACCCAATTTCTTCTCAGTCATTTAAACATGTTCTCTTTCTTTTCTATGTCTTGTAGGTGCTGGTTTGGCACACTCGCACAGAGAAACCACACCTGGCAAATGAGCCCAAACTTAAGAAGGACACTGTGGACATCGAGGTGTGACTGCAGCCGTGCGTCACGCCTCAGCATTACATCCTGAATGGAGGGGCAAAGACTCTTAGGATCTGCATGATTCATGACTCTCTGCTGTTCATCCAAATAATTCCTTGGGGGAACTGGACTCATTTAAGAGAACTGGAACATCTTGGACCATTTGTTTTCTTCCATCTGCTTCCTGCTGATGTAAATACAAAAGTAAATGTAATATATTGCGCTGCTGAACAGAGTGCCATATGTGTCTCTTTTAATCATTGTGTTGTCAAATTGACTGTGGGACGATGTATGAAAAGGTCATTTAGATTAGGGCTGGGCGATATGAAGAAAATCCTATATCGCAATGTATTTGGGCTATATCGTGATATACGATATATATCACTATATGTTTAAATTACCTGCATAAACAGTAGAGTGCATAAAATTGCACTGATATACTCATTCAGACTTTTGGTTTCAAATTTAAAACATTTTATTTTAACCAGCGGAAAGCTTTTCACTAATAACTCTGCCACATTATGTATTTGGGTGTCAGTATTAGATCTTTAGCAAGATCCTAGCAACCAAAGAGGATACAATGCAAAAACGGTCTTTGGTATATAATTTAAAAAAAAAATTCAGAATGAACAAAGAAATTGACCTTAAATTAGTAAAAAGAAAGTGGAAATACTGTTCAAAAAATTAGAGCAAAATCAGACCATCTCGAAACTATTTGCATTGACCTTTAGGTGCTGGGAATTTTAAAGGGCACAAAAAGTTGTAAAATTGAGAATATTGCAAAGTTTAGAGAACGGCTGCAAAACTTCTGAACAAGACCACATCACATCACAGGTAGAGTATCTAAAAAACATTAAAATATGTAATAAATAGCGTCAGTGATTTCCCTTTTTTCTCTCATATAGAATTGCTTTTTCAAATGATGAGCCACTTCACAGCTGATTTATTTAACATTTGAGCTGGTGGGAGATGCTGACATGCAGAGTTTACAACATTGTTCATTTTGCAGCGGATGACTTTTCAGGTGTTGGAATAAATTTGTACTCCTACCTTTTGCAGCAATGGTTTTTGCGTCATTTCTTACAAATTAGCGCCTTTTGTTCGACGACCTTTGCATGAAATCCAAACCATTGCCATATATTACTTAGCTGAAACACTTGCTGTCGCCATATTTCCTTTACGGGTTGCTGTAGTCTGCATTCCACGCAGAAAATAATCCCCTTTGGAGGAGGGTTTTATGATGCACTCAAAGTGTGTGGGGAAAAATAAAACTCAGTGAAATAGAAGCAGAGAGCTTAAAGTCGTTATGAAAATTTGTACTAGATGGTTGCAATAGTCATTTTAACTATGGTGCGTGGAAAAACTTGAGATATATTGAGTATATTCGATATATCGCCCACCCCTAATTCAGAAAATCTGTGATTGCTTACTTTGATCATGTAAAAGCTGGTGTTTTCTGTTTTGGAAACTGCTGTTAATAAAACATGCTCAGTTTCATTCCCCTGGAGTATGAGTGATCATTATTCTGGGAAAAATTAACTTGGTTTGCTTTTGGTTGATAAAATCTACCTGACATGCAGATCCATACCATCTGTAACTATGGAAACATGCAGCTTCACCTCAACCACTCGTGTTTGTGTTTTATTGGAATGACAAACTTTCCACCATTCTCTCCTTAGCTGCAGATTCAGGGCTAATCCAGTCAACCTTAACGTTGAGTTTGGTTTATGTCAAACTGCTATCCTCCATCTTTGGCTTCCTCTGTTAAATTTATGATTGTTCGAGTTTGGTTTCTGCTGCTTTCAATGAAAAAATGTTTAGGCTGAGAAATCCAATATAAGGAAATGTTTAAATGTGATTCCAGCAACATTTTCAACGACTGTTGCTAAGCTCTATGTGATATTCATGTTGTTGAATTTTCACAAAACCAGTTGACATTTAAAACAAGCTACTATGGAAACTAACCACTAACTTTAATAGATTAGACCTGATTTTAGAGTTTTGGAGTTTCAAAAATGAAGTTAAGTTCTACTAAAGGAGGAAAAACAGACTGGATTCTACTGAAAAGTCATAATTTTCACTGGAAAGGGTTTCTCTCCTTCGAATTTAATTCTGATAACTTCTGATAGTTTGGGGCTTAGTGAATCAAAGATACATATAATTGTTCTTTAAGTGTGTTTGGATACATTCTTTGTTGGCCTGTTGCTAAAGTTAGAATTTGTGTGGCAGAGGAAATCCTTTAAACTCGTTATGTTGTGACCATCAAATGACATTCTGTCCTCAACGGGTTCTGAATTCTGAGATCACTGCAATGCAGCGTCAAACCATATTTTAGAAGCTTCTTTCTTTTTTTTCTGTTTTCTTTACAGCTTTTATTGTCATCACGCTGTCACAAGTACAGAGCAACGAAATGAACTCTATACATTTAACCCATCCCCTTGGGTAGCAGTGGGCTGCCATTGTGCGGTCCTCGAGGAGCAGTGTGGGGTTAAGGGTCTTTGCTCAGGGACAGAGAGTGGCAGTCTGTTGGAGTGGGGCTCGAACTCAGAACCTCAGGATTCTAAGCTCGATGCCCTAACCACTAGGCCACCACTCCCCCTAGAAGTTTGATTAACTGGCATCACACTACCTGCAGCTTTGTCAGCCACAATCAAATTAAAATGCAGGACAGAACTGATTATTTTTTAAGATCGACATGAGTTTTTACTGATATATAAATGGGTAATAAAAAGATGGAAAGATAAGATACACAGACAGTGGACACGATGATAGAAGACTGCACGGAAGACAGCTGGATTGATGAGTTATATGCAGTATTAAGCACTGGATTGATGAATGGATAGACAATTGTGGGTGCAAAAAGTGGATTGATGACATCTGGGTCAACAGATAAATGATAAGGTGGACAAAACAATGGGAGGATGCAGAGATGGACAGTTTGATAATATTAGACTATAGAAAAATATAGTATCTCTTCCCACACTTATTAAAACCTGTTTTTGAAATCAAATATTTCCAAAACCAATTAGATGAGGAGACTAGCTACTAGACTAGACTAGGGACTATTAAACATATGGTGGAACTGAACAGACTAGTCCTTTCAATATTTTAGTCCCTCCGACGGGGAGCATGGATGTGTGACAGTGTTTATGCAGGAAATAAAACACTAATGAAGGATTCAAGAGAATTTATTCAAATTGACCCTTTCATTAATTTTAATAGAACAAAAATGAGCAATCAAAATTCAACATCATACATAGTCAAAGGTCATAAGACAGAGATACATACAGGACTCTTCCATTATAGTGTTATATTCACAGACATCCTAATCGCACCATAAATAGACCTGGAGAATTTTATTGAAATGTTCACATAGAGTTCTACAGTTATTGCATGGTGGAAGCAGACATGTCTAGCTTTAATAGAAAAGAATAGGACCCATCCAAGATTTTCATGCAGGTCCTTCTTTTCCAATCAGTATTCAGTCTAGCTTCCAGGTTTATTCATTGCAGATTGTTTCTCTTGCACCACACGCAAAAAAGCACAACAATAAAGATGGCAGACAGCAGAATGATTGAGTGTCACATGGGTCCTGAATATCAGAAAGGTGGCAGCCGGAACAGTTGGATGCCACTAAAGAGTTTAGATGATTGTCAGACTGCTCCTTGAAAACCATCTGAAAGGCTGGACCCCAACATAGCAGATGTAAACTCCCTGATCTACAAGGTGCAGTAATGGCAAACACTCTTGAATTCAGCTGTGGCTAAAATAGCTGCAAGGAGTGTGTGTTGGAAATGGCTCTTCAATAACCAGTGTTGAACTCATTTTATTTTTAGAACATCACAGATCAAGTCACCTGAAATACCCAAAGGACCCATAGGTGCGCTCAGCAGTATCTGCAGCTTTAAAGATACTGTCAGTATTTCAGCTGTTTGAGAAACAGAGCTTCATAAAATGCTTTGCAGTTAGAGAATGATGCCTGCTGTGTGATTTCAAAAGGACAATCAGCCAGAGGATGGAAGGATAATGTTTGTGAGGTATTAAAAGCATATTGGGTTTGTTAATGTGTGAACTAAACTGTGATGGTTTGCAAAGGCTTTGGAGAATGTACAAAACTTTGTAGCAAGGTTGTGATGACACCATTGAGAATGTGGAGCAGGACTCACCATGTTGGCCTATGGCCTGGGCAATGACCCTATCAAAACCACAAGGGGCTCCAAGTAGGTCACTGCGACAGAGTGGCTGCAACAGGTATCAGATTAAAGCAGCAAATTCCATCAGTTTACTTTTAATTCAAGCAATTTTGCCTCTTAAAAAGCGAAGGAAAAAGGTTTTGTCCAATTCAATTCAGTCTACCTTTGGCCAAGATGAGGGTCCTGCTCTGGAAGAAATAGCACATAACACCTTTCTGACATATTAAGAATTTTTTTGTTCACATTAAAACATTCACATTTTTCACTATGGAATGTGTGCTGAAGCTTCCAATACAGTATTAATTCTTATAACTCTTTAATTAGTTGTTTTCATGTTTCTACTAATATAAAATGTATTAGTTTAAGCATTTCATTATTAATATTCATGAATAAGAAATGTTGTTAAATGTCACTAATTTAAAAACCAATCTGACTTAAATTTTCTTTAAGTCTTTTTCACTCTTGGTTGGTCTGTGAGATGCTGTCTGGTTTCTATTGTCCACAGGAAACCATTGACATCTTTCAAAGCACATCTCTTACTATCTTCAAGTGAAATTAAACCAATTTACTATCTAATCCAAAGCTAGGTAACTTCTGAAAGCATTGGAATTTATTTATTGGCGTCAGAATAATGCCAGACTAATCTTTCTTGCTGGTTTATAGTTATGCACCAATTTGAGTTGCTCCGTTACAATAAATCCCAATAAAATATGTGGTTTTAATGCAAATAAGTTTAGGGGGTTGATACTTTTCTAAATAATAACATAGAGCATATATCAGAGATCTAAGAATCATTCTTGGTCCAAGTGTTAACCCTGGGTTGCAGTACATGTTTAAGATACAAGGGGGTATTTAGCAATTACTAATAGTATAACAGCAACATGCCTGCTAAATATTTCCGAGTTTGATTCAACCTAGCACCATTCTGAAAAGCTCTGCATAGAGATCTTAGTGGTCATCATTCAAAAAATCAATTCAGAAGACGGATTAAAATGGTTCTGCAACATAAAATCACAAATAATCAAATGAGTGTTTTTCGGCCACAGCTCTGTTTTTCCGTCAGATATAGTTTGGCTTTGCATAAAAAGACAAAGCAGACAAAAGGCTGTAAGCCCCACTCTGTTGACAATAAAATGAAGTAAAATGATTATGATGAAAGCTGCTGGTGGTACAGAGAGGGGTCAGGTTAGATGTTCAAGAACAAGATCATAAACAGCCAGAATCACTGACTGAAGCACAAAAGCACCTTTAATATTTTATATGTGCAATGAACAGGGTACAACAGTAAGATTTAGAGCTGCTGGTAGAAAATACTGGACAGTCTGCCAGACACTAACCCAGCTTTTTAGGTTGTTTTTTTTAAAGCTAAACTACAATCCTAGGAGAAAAAAATGCTTCATTATTTTCAGTGCATTAAATAAATCCTTTAATTCAGAGCTTACAGACCGTTATTTTGCTGACAATCAATTTTTGCATCATTGTGGAGTAAATTTAGTCTGAAGGTTGTTTTTATTTAACAATTCAGCTAATGGAGGTGTGTAGGTTTTCTCATCGGTACCCCTGGATTTATTCTTTCCAACCATTTTGCAGTAACTTCAACTCTCAGGAGGTCTGACATTAGACAGAGAGGCTAGACTCAAAGACTGAAGGTTTCCCCGCTTCTCTGGTTCCAAAAGAAGCCCCAAACATCACCAATTCCTCACTGTGCTTGAGAGTGTTTCTTTTTTTGGAAGCTTAAAATGCCACTATAAAGCTGCGTTAACAGATCCCAGGACAGCTGTACTTCGCTGTCATATGTCCAAAGAACACCAAGTTGTTTATAACAAGCAGCCCCTCCCTTAGCGTCGACGGGCTGGGCATAAATGGATGGGTTTTCTCCAAGTTTTTAAAATCCATTTACTGCTTTAAATGCAAAGAGAGGGTTTTGCAGAGCAACCTCATCATGGTATTTGCTGCATCATTTTGTTTGTAGCAGTATTTCTTTTGAAAGATATTGGCAGTTAGTTTGCTCTTGCAATCGACTTCACTGCCATCTTTGATTTAAACGTCATGACATCACACTCATCCTATAATGCCATATCTGCTCTTATAGTTTACAGGATCGTCAAAACTTAATGGAACGAGGGACCTACCCGCCCCAGCCGGTGAACAATACCTCCTTAACGACCAACCCTTAACAATCATAGACAGGTTTCAGGTATTACAGGAGACAATCCCCCCCCTTAATGGCAATCCCCCCTTTAACGACCGACCCCTAGAATCATAGACAGGTTCAGATATTACAGGCTAACGATGGAACTAACGACCCATTCATCGGTTACCATTGCATGTTTCCAAGCGATACAAGGCGTTGTCTATATAAGACTCAAACTCACTGCGGATCCAGACATTTGAATTGAGAAAGCTTCCTGGAGAGGTGGCGAAACGTCTTCAAATCTTGAAAACCAAGTCCAGTGGATTTTTTGAATTTTTACGGAATTAATGGATTGACTTCAAATAAGAGTATTCTTAGGTTATAGAAGTAGAGGGTGATCTGAGAGGGGCTGATATAGTTAATTAAGGTGGAAATTTGTAATCTGTTCCGCCCTTTTAATCCTTTCCAATCTAGCTGTCTTTTTTGCCTGCTATTACCTAGAGTTTAAACATATCAAAAGGTATGCAATGCCAACAAAGACTGGGACGCTCCTCTTGGTTTCAGCTCTGCACAGTCTGGTTTTAAGGTGAATCTTCGCTCTACACATCTGGATAAATAATCAGCTTTCATTTTAATTTCTACTACTTTTAAAAGATTTTTCCCTGTGGATTGTGTAAAAATATCTTACAACCGGTCGGAGATTAACTGGTGGCAACAATAGATCTTCTAAAGACACTTTCTCCCTGACAATGCATTTGGTCTCACTGATGGTCAGTTAATTAAGCAGTTATTAATTAGCAGATCTTAGCTGTTTCTTTGCTCATTATGGTCAAGAATTTCTCTTTTATATCAAGCAGATCTAAATGAGTTCTGTTCTACCATCTGTATGCGATCAATAAAGCTCATAGATATATATGTAAAGTGGTTTTTCTGGCAGTCGTTAACATAAAAATGAAACATAATTTTTATGAGCCAAACTGTTAATATTTCCCAATTCTGTTTTTTTTCTACTATGTGCTGAAATGTTTAATTAAGCAGTTTCCTTCAAACTAAAACTGCTTCTCTTCAATATTTTAGAGGCTTTTTATATTGAGATAATTCTTCAAATCTTTCGCAATGTTTGCAAAGTTATATCTTTAATTTACCCTGATGAATGAAAGAAAACAATCGTGTTTGTAGAGGTACAGTACTGGTCAGACAAGTATCTGCTATGTGCTTTTGTTACCTCTACAGAGAGGGTCAGTGGAGATAAGGGATGGGTTAATATACACGCTAGAGGAAAGGGTCAGGTGGGTAGCATAGACCAACAAGATATCCATATCTACTGTAGGTACTTAACCACGATTCACTAACTCTACATATCTATACCGATAAAGGCTTATGTTAGTGTTGACATAGCAGCTTCCTGCTTGTTATTCTCTTTTGTTGTTTTTTTTCCAGACGATACCAACAAAAGGAGAGAGATCAGAGGGGGGACATTTTGAAAATGAGGAACACACAGCTGCCGATCTTTCTTTTCCTTTTAGGGCATTGATTGATTCTTAATGTCATTAAAGCAATGATGTGCATCAGGAGAGTAAATCAGTCAGGTTGTCTGGAGGCAGACTGCCCCCCCCCCATGTAGGACCCCCCTATATCCTCTGCAATCACTTCCTGCTATTTCCACAGCTGAGTGCTGAGGGTCTGGCCCGAGGCTGGTGCTGGCGATGTGGACCAACTGGTGGCAGGAGCGCCTGCCGCCACTCCTCCACCACCCAAAGCCATGCTGGACGTCTGCTGAGTCATCTGGGAGGGGAAAATAAACAGATGACCATATTTAAAGTAAGCAGATAAAACTCAGGTTGTTTCAAAATCTCGTCAGCAGAAAATTCACTCTTTTTCAAACTGGTATGCATAAAAATATTCTAAATGCTTTTATTAAAATGTTTACAAAAATGACACACTATCTAAAATAATTTCTATGCAATAAACATCGATACATATGTGAAGCAGTGTTAAAAAGAAGTGGAAATCTGGACTGTTTTATAAACTAATGAAAATGATCTATGAATATTTTGCTTTAAAAGACTAACAAATGATGGGACACTGCAGCAAAATGTCGAGCAGACATCTGATGCTTTACAGGCATGTGCTTAAAAAAATAACATAATTTAATAAAAGTTACGCCTTTAACTCCTTTATTGTCCAATGTATTTCCTAACAGATGGTTTTCTCTCGAATCAATTGAAATGTTAGACAGCAGCGCAATGGAAAAGGTTAGAGAGTGAGTCAGAGAAAACTCTCTTCAGAAATTACCCAGGTCTTGTGTAAAGAGACTTTAAACCATAAACTTTATATATCTTAAGACCACTAACTGGGTCATCCGTAGCTGGGAGCAAAATCAGTTTCAACATGGATGTAGGTGTTATACGGCGGGAAAAGTATCCCTCATTTTATTCCTTCGCTTTATAGAACATTCTTAAGTTTTCTAAATTTTTCTGACTTCTCCCACATATTTCAGTGCAAACACAACTTAAAACTTAAACTTTTCCTTTGGTAAAAAAAAAAGATTCATCAGCTATTTGATGACACTTACAGTACAGCTCTGCAAAAAACTTAAAGCATCAAAGCATTTAAAAAAAAAGAAATCGATGAATTGAAAAAAAATCAAAATTGACAATTGACTGCAGTTTATCAGTTGGCTGCAGGTTAGTCATTCTGCTTGAGCAGAGCAGATAGCCTTAATACTTTATGCTTATAACAATATTAGAAAAATGTTACAAAATATTTTTTCTTCTCAGTTTAAAATAAGCAACAGTTAAAATATTTTTTTAATAAACTGTGAAATTGCAGCATACTTACTCAAGAGTTACCAAACTGTGAATATCTCCCCAGCTGATGTCATCTCTCCATTCATCCCTATCGTCCAACCTCTACATCTCACACCAGTGCACATCCCTGGACCCTAACCCCCACCCAACATCCACTTTCCATTCTGTCTTATCTATTATGCATGCACAGCGGTGCAGCCTTGCTCACTATCTGGTCATCTGAGAGCTGTAGATAAAGGTGTGTGTGTTTGTGAAGGAGAATCTACATGTGTGTTCTATCTGATATATTCTGCACAAACATATTCATAACTTCACATACTGTGTACTTGCATGTGTAGTTTTGTTGGAACCAGTCTGACACCTGTAGCCTCATTGCAAAGAGGAAAGAAAGCAACAAGAAATCCACCTTTGCTTAAACTTGGTGAACATCTGGCTTCTTTCTTCAGGTCCAGAATGCAAGATGGACTGAAACAGTTTGAAAATCTCTGCAGAATAAATTGTTTATTTACTTAAACGTCTCTTTTCACTGGTTCAGCTCATTCTAAATAATGTGCCTTAACCCCCCCATCTTTAACTGAACATTTGCATCATTTCACAGGGCATCAAAAAGCTTCTGAATTTCAGTGTTTGTCAGTTTATGTCAGGTTATCTTCCTCCCTCAGCTGCCAAATCAGACAGCTCACTTCCAGCTAATGGATGGAAACTGGCTCTTTATCCGAGCTGCTGAAGGATCTGATTTAAATCCTCACTCCATGCTGACAGTCAGACACTTTATGATTTCAGTTTTAAATTCTCATTACTAAGATTCTAATTCCAACATCATGGCTGCTGCATCCTTCTATTACTGTCTTGTTAAAGGATTTCCCCATATTTACTAACTCCTACCTGCTGGTGAATATTAGTCTGTGTGGAAATATCAACTCTTCTCTGATGCAACACATAAGTCAACATGACAAGACAACACATGCTCCCAACCACAGCCTCGAGGTCAAGGGTCAGCACTCAGTTTTTTTTTTGTTTGTGTTATTGAATCCAAACCCAGTCTATATTTGTTTGGGATCACTGTCCTACTGCAAGTTCAGCAGTCTTCAAAGCATTTGCAACCAGTTTTGATAATCTAGCTGGGTTTGTCATTTAATCCACATGGAGCATTAAACCAGAACCACCATCAGCAGACGCTAATTTCTTCATCCATCCAGTTTGACAGTTTGGTTTGAAATCCTCCCCCTAACTCCATGCTCCCAGCCACAGAGAACAATCAGCTCAATTTTAGCTCATCTGACCAGAACAATTCGTGTCTGAAGATCTTTGGTTTATCTGTGTGAGCAGCTTGGTTGGTCCTTTCCCAGACCGTACTGGTTCTTTGGTATTTTGTGACCAGTCTAAACTGTTTTTTTTTTAAGTTTGACACATCAAAGTGTTTCAAAACAAAAACTAGTTAGATAAACTATTTGGCTTCCAATAAGTTTGTGAAAATGCTAGACATGGTTCCAGACAGAAAACCAACAATTTTTAGTTAACTCCCAAAATTGTGTCAGAAAGCGAGGTCAAATAAGCAGTATATTACATATGGCCAGTCATTTTGTATCAATCAAATATATTGATTTTCTTCCATTCTGAAAGTAGAAACAGTAGCATAAAAATCCCCCATATTTTGGTCAATTTAAATCGGATACAAGTATCAGACTATTTCCTCTGGTAAAGGTTTAGTCTAGCAACCAGTGTGTTATATAAAGCAAATGGACAAAAGTTAGAGTCTACAATTCAGCATGGACAAATAAACAAAGGCCTCAACTGTAAAGGTTAAAACAGCAGATTAAAGCTGCTGCTGTGCAGAGGCTGAGGGGGAAAGGTTCACCCCACACTGAGCTCTAGAGAATAGGGAGGACGACATTAAACAGGTCCATACATCACCTGCTAGGACAAGCATGGCCAAACTGTGACACTGGATTTATGAGATTTAAACTACTAAAAAAAGCAAAGGTGTGTTTCCTTAGAGACTGGATCAGTGTCTTGACTCTTACCTGGCTCATATTCCACTGGCCCTGCTGCTGCTGCTGGCCTGGCTGCGTACTGCACATATTCACCATGTAGCTGCCATTGGATAGAGTCATGCCAGACATCACCGGCCCTCCACCCATCATGGTTGTGGGTGGGATGCCTCCAGCCACAGCTGGGGAGAAGCTCTGTGGATTGAACTGCATCTGAGGCTGGCTCATGTATGCCCCTGCAGGAATAAACAACATCAACCAAAACATTAGTGTGAATGCCTCTATTAGAGCAGCAGATTTGAAAGTTTACTGCTGTAGAGCATGGAGGTGTCTAAACCCACTACTAAAAGTAGAAATCTTAATTCAGTGATCTCATTGGGAAATGATTTCTAACCCCTCAGTCTGCAGCAGAAAACCACATCCCACTAAATATGATATGACAGCATGTTGACAATGTAACCGGTACAGGAGAAAGCAAAGCAGACATGCACGGTGGTGGAGGGGTGATAATCTGGGATTAACAGCCCTCTGTATATGGGTTCATCAGCACAACCCCTCAAACCTAACCCATACATGTGGATAGTTTTGTTCTTTTTGCTCAATAAACAACAGTTTTTTATATACTGAGTTTAGATTCAGATCATTTTAGAACTAGTTCAGGTTAAAAAATGATGCCCTGACTTTGACTTTCATGCGTGTAATTCATGATAAAAGCCCTTTATCTGCATTTCCATCCCTAATCATCTATCGATCAGTGCAAGCAAACAGGACTATAATCAATAATACCTCACATGTTCTTCATTTAAACAGTAAATCTGCTAACTGCAATCCTCCATCGCACACAAAACACAGCAACAATGTAATGTCTGCACCGTACGGAGAGCCGCCCACTTGCACACAGAAACGGCTGCTGACACTTCAAGTCTTCACATCTAATAAGTGCGAGATGAATCTGCAGACACACCGTGCTGTTTACACCGCTGCGCTGGGAATCTGCTGAATGCAGCAGGGAGCAGAGCTGGCAGCAATTCCGCGCCCTGACCCTCCATCTGACACCATCCGCCCTCATTTTCAACATGCGCCACTCCTGTGAGGTATGTGTGTAGCAGTGTTTTGATATGCACCTCCTCTTTTAAACAAAATAAACAGATATATGGCTGCCATGCATCCTGGTGCATAAAGCGGGGAGAACAAAGTATTTAGAAACTGCTGAATTTGAAGGTTTTCCTACTTGCAAAGCATGTAGAAGTCTTTAGTTTTTTTTACAAATACTTTTCAAATGTGACGGAATTTAAGACATATATAAAGGAAATGAGACATTTATTTGATTTTAAATTTTATTGCATTAAAAAAAGGCAAAATTTGATAAATGCTACAGAAATCTTTGCCGTTTCTTGTAGTTCTTGACAATCCTTACCAATGCTGCAGCAGGGATTTATGACCACTCCTCCTGGAGGTCTTCTCCAGAGCTTTTAGGTTTAAGGGATGTTACTCTGCACCTTCAGCTCCTCCAGATTTTCTATTCAGGCCTGAAGGCAACTCAGGGACCATGAGATGCTTCATATGTTGCCCTGATGGTTTGCTTCAGGTCATCATGGTAGTGATCAAATACTTGTTCTCCCCACTGTATCAACTGCAAGTCTTACTACAGTCTAAAAAAGCTGGAAAGAGTCAAAGCTAATTGAGGCTGGAAAATTATTTTCAAAGACATCTGATCTTTTACGGCCCTTGTAATAATCGATCAAACCAAACCAAGTGTCTTTTTCTAAAGGGAGGCTACAGTCGATGTACATGAAAAGGTAACACAGCCGTTCAAATATAATGAGGACTGAAAAAAAGAAATCAATGAATTTAGCCGCAATCTATTCTTGGAAGTATATTTCATAGTGTGAAAAATAATAGACCCATTAAGTGAAGTGCCTTTAAAAGTCCGCTGTCTATGAATGTTGTTCCTCTCAGAAAACTGAGATAGAAACAGTTTTATTTTTCTCCAGGGACAGAAAGAACTGTTGGTTAGCTTTAGTGCAACTGCAGCACTGGAACCAGTAGGGACAGTATGACTTTCCAGTTACAGTTTAAGGATGGCATGGAGCTAATCTCCAGTACAAAAAAAAAAACATTTTCTTTAAGACAAGGTAAACAAAGTCATGTGTTGTAAGTACAGCATAAACTGAAGTTGATAAACTTAGCCAGACATTTCTATTTAAGAACTAATTCAGGAATGGCAGTGAGTCTTGGAACAGAGATGACCAGGGAACTCATTTCTGAAATATTTTATTGATCCCAAAGGAAAAGAACATGTAAATGCTGTTATAACTCATACAGCATTTGTTGTTTAGAGGGTTTATTTAGTGTCAGGAGAACCATCTTTGAGGCCATGTAGTTCAGATAATTTTCTGCTGAAAGAACCAATTGCAATCTCTTTCTCAAGTTATGCCACACGACTTGAGATTTTTATTTCAGAAATCCCACAGATCTCTAAGACATCATGATGCCACACATTTTAGTTCATTTCTCACTGAATTAAAAAAGACAGATGGTCCCACAGCATCACAAACCATTTATCTAGCTTACTGTAACAGTAGGAATGAGGCGCTTGTCTAAACTTCCTTTGTTTTATACCTCATTCAATTCGAGATTTTTTGCAGAAAAGTTCAATATTAGTCTCATCTGACCAGAGCAAACCTTTAAAGTTTTTAGTATTTAGCAAACATCACAAGCTTAACTAATATTCTTCCACAACAAATAGTTGGTATTTAGATTGCACCTATGGTTGCTATGGTGTGGTAACACCAAACACGATTCCAGTGAAATTCTTTTCTCATTCATGTGCTGTTGCTTACTTGAAATATTGCAAACAGTTTGCATGTCCAAACAGGGATAACACTTCACAGCATCACCAAAGAAAAAGAGCTTCCATCTCTTCCAGGGTAGAGAGTGCACCATAGAATCCCCGGGACAGGCTCTAGAGCTTAAAGGGAAATTATACTGTCTTTTTGAAAAGCCACCAACAAACTTCTAGTTAGAATTCCTTACTTCATTCTTTGAAAACATTATTTTTCCTATTCTTTCATTGTGATTTAAAAAAAAAAAAAAACTTTTTCTCCAATGGGCTCTTTCACTCTACCTCACAACAACATCTACTGCCTGGTTGGGGCAAAGCGAACTGAGAGAAAAGTTACATTTTTATAACTCCAGTGAAATTATCAGTGCACCCACCACAGGATTTGCTCTATTCGTGGTGTCCTACGAATAGCTTAGGTCCTGAATGCACCTTTACATAGAGATAACATGTAAATCCCTCCCTCTGAGGGAGTCATTTGCATTTGGAGTGAAAGCTCCATTATGGAGCCTTAACTCCCTTACCGTCTTCACTGTGTGTGGCAGCATAAGAACCATGGTACTTCACTCATTCCTGTTCACCATTTATTACCAATAGTTATAAACCTGTTTATTGATTGAACATTTGAGATGGTTTAGATCAGTAACTCTTTTTTGGTTTAAGGAGATTAATTCACGCGTGTGAATAAGACAGCAGCATGCTTTATTGTCTTTCCTGTTTTAAATGGACCTTATATTATATAATGTCACCTTTTAAAAGACAAAAAAAGACAAAAAAAAAGTGCTTTAGTTACATTTTATTTCAATAAGTATCAGGGCCACCAATAAATGTGACAACAATTTCTTTGCAAAGAACAATTCCCTCTTAATGTGGCTCTCCTTTGATTGAATAAGTGCACTGCTACGAAAGACAAGGAATTCATTTAAAGTTATTTCTGATAAGTTTGATTGTTTTCCAAAGCCTTGAGGGTGTTGTATGAGTGTCTGTTAAACGTAAACCAAACCAAGTAGCATCTAAATCAAAAATGAATAAATTGCATATTTAAATTTGGACATAAAAGTGGATTTTAATGTCTATCGTATAAAATAAACTTTTTAATTAGTCATATAGTGTAACGTGGGTGAAATGAAATGAGGTAAAATAATGTGGTTTCAGGTGGAATCTGCTGTTCTCTGCAGTATTATTCTGTATTCTGAGGCTTCAGAAAAATATAAACTCTTATTCCTACAACTTCCATATACTTTAGTTGTTTGCAGTAGAAACCTGCAGCTTTACAGACCATATACTGAGTCCCTATAAATGCAGCCAGAGTTCAGAGAAAATTGATATAAATCCTGTAAAACTCACATGCATTAAATGGTTCAGTCTGAGCTTTGAGGTGTAGAGAGAAACAATAAAAGTCAGCTGCTTGAAAACTGGGTAACAATGACTTATCAAAAAAAGATGGTGGCTGCATGAAAGCGGCTGATACCTGGTCCTGTAGCAGGCTGTTGTTGGCTCTGTGGCTGATTGCCCACTGAGCTGCTGCCATACAGAGACAGGATGGAGTCCTTAGATAAAAGCTTCTTCTCCTCCACCTTAGGGGCAGCAGTTGTGGTGGTGGAGGAGGAGGAGGTGGGCTCTGCCTGGGAAGGTTCTGCACTGCAACCAGACTGGAAAAAAGAAAGATACAAGACAAGATCTAAAACAGTTCAGGTTTAAAATGAAGCATTTCCTGCTTTAATTCTCATGAACAAATTTTTGTTCAAGAGATGTGTAGTATGCTATACGAGTCCAGCTTTGGCCAGAGTGAGGGTCCTGATCTTGAGGAAATAAGACGTTACAACTTTTCCTCCTGCTTTTATTATGTGTTTTAACTTGCGTTTATTCTAAGTTATATGAAACTGGTATTGAAGAGTAGCTAGATTATGCACAAGAACAGCTGGATTTGATTTATTGAGTAAAGTGTGGTTCCAACTCCAGCTTCTAACAGGCTGAGATGCTAGAAGAACCCAAACTGAAACAAATAAAAATGAATGTATACCTTGTTTATTTTTTATCATTATATTTAATTTATGCAAAGAAATTTGAGGAGACAACAGTTATTTCTCGTATTTTCATTACTGGTTTTAAGTAGTAAAAGGAATGATACATGGATTTAAAATGAAGCAGTAAAAATTGATTGTTCTAATTGATTTACAGTTCATGTCGGATTTATTTTATGGGCTGCATAGATTTTCTTGTGCACTGAAGAATGCACAAGTAGTGCACAATTCTGCAATTTAGAGGGAAGATTGGTTTTAACAATCAGTTTCTGCCTGACTTCATCAGTCTTTCATATCATTAAAAAAATGTCCACTAATGGATTCATCAGTTCATGAAGTAGGTATTAGACTACTCTATCAATATATTGCTACAGCAATAAGGTTGGGCTCTGGACCCATATTATGGGTCAAGTCCCATATAATTCTACATTTGATAAAAATAAAATATTAACAATGAGGCCCCCAGAGCATATTTTTGGTGATCTGTGCAACTTAGGAAGACAGCAAAAATGTCCCTATTCAGCTCTCCTCTGGATGAGCTGTTTAGGTTTCCCACTCCATGTACTCCCCAAGGCTGTGTCCCCACAACCACCAACCATGAAAACCAGTCAGAGTTTGTAAAGAGAGCTTAGGAGTGTGAAATAATATATTAGATGAATGTCGTAGCTTGACAGATGGGCTGCTACAGCTCGCTCTAGACAGCTTATTTCCCCTTATGACATCATAAGGGGAATGCTTTTCAAACATAGCATTTTGAGTACACCTTAGCCAAGAGGTGGAAAAAAGCAATAATAGAGGGGAAAGGTTTTTTCATTTCTGAATTTCCTTCATTTGATTAGCGTCACCCTCCTGCTGTTTGTACTTTTGAATCCTCGGGAAACAACAACTACCTAATTTTCTAACTTGACATTTCAGTTTCTAATTAATCTATGGATTTTTAATTAAATTTCTTTGCACCTCAGGACTACTTTAAATATACCTATTAAAAAAAAATGACTTATTTCTCATTATTAACATTTAGGGAGGGTCAACTGTTTTTGTCCACTCAGCTTTCCATACCCATGGAGATCTGAATGTTTTCCTTATCTCAGCCTACTCAGACGAATTGTCCTGAATATCAATTAATTAAATACATCTTTTCTGTTTCAGTACTAATACCCAGGTGAGCTCAGGTAATAACTATTTTTGACTGTAAAAACTCAGTTCTAGACATAGAAGGAGAGAAAATGCTAATAAAAAAGGGTAAAGAAAGATGAATAAAATGCAGCAGAAAGAAAGGAGGAGAAGCATTGTCACTGCTAAGTGAGATGGATTATATTAATTAGGCTGCTGCAAAGAGAGGCAGACGTGAACTGGATCAGGCACATGCAGTTACACTCAAACCTATTCCCATTTATAAAACAAAAAACAAAAAACATAGAGACACATTAAGCCTAATGTCCAGAGCTGAAAGTGGCCCAGGTGTGTTTGAGAAAGTCTCTGTTATGGGACGAGGAATTGAGGAGGCGGGAGGAGGCAGCCGGGCTTCATGAATAACACCAGGAGAGACAGGTTGATAAACAGCTTCTCCTGCAACACACTCTCTGGTGAATAAATGTACTGAAATCAGCTTCCAAACATCCAAGACTGTGATGTCCTCCTCTGGTTAGCAGGCAGCGTTGCTCCCCTCCGTCTGCCCATCCAATGACAGGAGGAGGGACGGAGGAGATAAGAGGTGGTTCAAAACGTAAAGGGGAGGGAAAATAGAGATTAGCGAGATGGAAGGAAGTGTGGTGAGAAAAGATAATAAGTAAGAAAGAATGATGGATGGAGGGTAGGAAGAGACAAACATAGGAAAGGACAAGGATGAGCGAAGAGGGGCAAGAAGATGGAGTGGATGGAAGGGCGTTGATGCCAAAAGATGCAGAAACCTATCTAAGCACACATATGGTATGCCCTGCGTCATGCAATGCCTGTAAAGGTGAGGCAGGTGTTCACAGAGGCGAGATGGAGCTCCCTATTTATAGCAGCAGCACATTAGCATGAAACGTGGTCTTGTTTAGAGGAGCAGAGAGACGCTGAGAACAGGCAGCAGGAGACCTTCTTCTGAACCCTTTACATCACAGCTCAGCCGAGAAGCTGAGCATGTCTCTTCACAAAGCTAATGGATATATTTAACAGTGCTCACCCCACCTGTTTCACATGTGCATCAAAGTGCTCTCTACTGACAGAGCAGGGTGACACAGTCCCATCACTACATCTGAATCAGAGTAAGAGGACCATCCCCCATGCAAATTGGGAATTCATTCTAGTAAAATTGGTGATAAGCAAAGAAACAACAATCCTCCCTATATTTGTAGACATACTGATCTTCTTTTGTTTGAAGGCGTCCTTTCACCCAGACACCTCTTACAGAGAACATGGGGCATTCACACGCGAGCCGAAGGATGTAGTCCCTCCAAGGGGTCCTGGACTGAACCCCGACCTCCTTTCGATTTGGACCTGCCTGGAACATCTCCACAGGGAAGCATCCAAAACATCCAAGCCGCCTTTAGCTGATACTGAATCAGATGTCAAGGACAACTTACCAGCTCCATACCCTTCCTTCCTCTAGGTGAGTGCAAAGCCACCCGACAAAGAAAGCTAATTTCAATCGTTTATCTCCATCAGGTGAGGGTAGAAATGTAGACCGATCAGTAAATTCTGAGCTTCTCCTTTTACTTCATCTCACTCCTTACCAGTTCAGCCGTGTGCAGCACCAGCATTCCTTCCTATATGCCGTCTGTTTGGATCAACTAGGACATTTAGAGTATTTCTTACTGCTAACATGTGCATGTTTGTGTCAGAGCAGTTTGACACAATGGGATTTAGTAACGCTCACTCAATGGGAAATGCTAAATTAATTAAACTTTATTGATCTCACATTGGAGAAATTTACCTCTACATTTAACCCATCCCCTTAGGGAGCAGTGGGCTTCCATTGTGCAGCGCCTGGGGAGCAATCAGGGGTTAGGGGGTTTTGCTCAGAGACCCAGAGTGGCAGTCTGTGGGAGTGGGGCTCGAAGTCAGAACTTTAGAATTCCATTCTCCATGCCCTAACCAATAGGCCACCACTCGCCAAAAATGGCAACAGGAGCCAACCTCCATCAAGTGCTAGTGATACCATCTATGAGGCCTCCTACAACTGCCTGAAATCACTTTTACTGCACTTATAATTCACAGTTTTCTAATGTGGAGCAGACATACAATCTGTTGGGGATCCTATTTATTTTTCAACATTTAATCATATCCAGATTGGACCATTCCTTCTGGTTGGTTTTAATGGATCTTAAATCTACTGTATTTTACAGTATTCTTTTCAAAGCCAAAAAAATAAATATCAAAGTGCATGTTTTGAAAAATAAGACTGTTTCACTTTTTCTCACCCTTTGCCACATACAGGCATGCAGAATCTTGTTTCTGTGAAAGCAGCTGCTAAAACTAAATAAGTTCCAGCAGCCTTTCACTGCCTCCACCATCTGTGATTGCCAGACACTCCATGAGCATTAGCTCTTTTTGCAGGGAAAGAATGGCAGCGCAATCAGGAGATTCCTCGCCAGCACTAAGCAGGTGGCCCACGGTGCAGGATGCTCTGGCACATCTTCCCAACCACTTTCCTAAAGGAGCCGAAACTCACACAGAGCACGTCACTCGGCTGCTTTCCTCGTCTCCAGCTCACTCAGACCAGTTGACAGTGAAGCGAAAGTATCCTCTATATAAACATGAACTCCATCCACATTGTGTGTGATGCCTTGCAGGGCTCCTAGCAGCACATTGTGTAATAGAAAACCTCTCCAACAAGGCTCCATTCTTCTCACCCTGTGTTTGTGCTGATGGGTGCAGCCAGAGCACTGAATTACTGCTCTGACAGCCTTTTCCTCACTGTCGCTATGCATAGACCTCTACAACCAAACACACACATACACAAGTTTTCTCATCATGGCTTGAAAATACCCATACACTCCCCTCTGATAGACCATCTGTGGCTGTAAAACTATGCCCCTTTCAGTGTATGTCTGTGTGTTTTGAAGCAGATTTGGTGCTAATTTACTGAAAAACAAAAGCAAAGCTTGCCGTGGAGAAACCAAATTATGGAATGCCAAAGAAGAGCAGCATGAAATGGTGACAAAAATATATATAAACAAGGAAAAGCAGATAGGCGACTCAAAGACAGGAGAAATAGAGGCCATTCATCATCATCATCATCATCATTTGGGCTCCTACCCCTAAAAATATTAAGATCTCAATAAGTCATCCTTGCTCTCCAATTGGCCTGCTGATCCTGTCTTTACCAGTTGGTTTGGTTTGCTTTAGCCAGGAGCTGAAAACAAATGCTACCAATGCCATCATTTCACCTTCAGGACTGCAGACTGTTGCCAGAGCTTACTATCTATTTGTAACAATTACATATTAAACGACTGACTCAGGACGAAAAAAAATTAAATTCCAGCAATATGAATAAAACAAAAATGATGCATACATAAAGCAGCTACAGAGATATTATAAAAGGAAAGTTTGTTCATTTTGAGTACAGTCATGCCGAAAAATGAGTACAGCCTTGCAGGATAGAAGGTGAAAAGTAGGAGCCAGCTACTACCTATCAAACAGATTATATTCGCTGATTAAACACCAGCTGGTGTAAACAGAGTATACAAGAAAGTGCTGTTCTGTATGCGCAAATGCAATGTTTCAAAATGGTTGTTACTTTGCAAGTTGTGTGACAAATAGTTATCCATTTATTTCGATTTTTATTACAT